TTATTTCCAACGTTTCAAAAATTAAAATATCATAATATTTTGAAATATATTAGTTTAAATTATCTAAAATTTATTAGAAAAATCTAAAATATGTTTAAAAATATAAAATTTCGAATTTAATAGGCCTTATTTTATGGTAACAAATTTATCATGATTTTCATAAATATTGGTTAGTTATTAGTTTTGATTTTTCTATTTATTTTAAAGCATATTTTTTTATTTGAAAATCTGTTATTAATTTTGTTTGGCTATAGGTTTAGGATTACATTTTATTTCATTTTTTCTATTTAATCTATTTGGGAAATTTTTAAAAATTTTCCGACAAAATTTTTTCCGCAATTCCTTTAAAAAATCCTTTAAAAAACCCTTGTAAATCTTTTAAAAGTCATCCAAAACCTTTCAAAACTTGAGTAAACCTTTTAAAACCATTGTAAATCATTTTATAACATTTATAAACACTTCTAAATCCCTTTAAACCCCTTATAACCGTGATAAATCATTTAATAAAAACTTTTGTAACCTTCTAAAACCCTTTAAAAACCCTTGTAAATCCTTAAAACCCATTTTAAAGAATTTGTAATACCTTTAAAAACTTTTGTAAACCCTTCAAAAACCTTTGTAAACTTCTAAAACCCTTTAAAACTTCTTCTAAATCCTTTAAAACAGTTTTTCAATCTTTGTATGCCTTTAAATACACTTTTAAATACTTTTAAAAACACTTGTAAATCTTTGTAAAACTGTTATAAACTGAAAAACTTTTAAAAACCATTGTAAATCATTTAAAACCTTTGTAGGCTTCTAAAACCCTTTAAAAACCATTACAAATCTTTTAAAAACCATTTAAAAACTCTTGTAAATCCCTTTAAAAACCCTTGTAAACCCTTTAAAAGACCCTTTAAAAAATCTTGTAAACCCTTTAAACAAAATTTGGCGGGAAAATTTTGAAAAAATATTTTTATTTTTTGCGGAATTTTTTTTGGCGGGAAAATTTTTCTCGGAAACTTTTTTGGCGGGAAAGTTTTTGGCGGGAAATTTTTGGGGGGGGAAATTTTTGGATGGAATATTCCTTCCTTTTGGAAAGAATATTCTTTCAAATAGGGGTAAAATGACCATTAAAATATAAGAGAATGCATAAATGAAAATGTTAAAAAAAAAGAGGGTATTTTTAAAAGAGGGTATCATAAAAAGGTTATTGGTATCAATTTCTCTAAAAGATAACAGTTGAGGTATTAATCACAAATTTGAATTTATGTATGTACTTTGTATTTTTTTTTGTCATCGTGTATGTACTTTGTATAGATAGGAATTTATTTATAATATTTTGAATTCATGGTTATTTTTTTTTTATAAATATAGAATTCAATTCTAAGCTAAAAAAAATTATATAATCTTAAAAACTATTCTTGTTTGGTATTTTTAAAAAGGGGTACACCAAAAGGGGTATTTCTCAAAAATTCTCTTAATTTATAGAGGTTTTACGGTAGTTAGTTAGTAGTTTTGATGTTTTAATTAATTTTAAAGCATATTTATTTCCTTTTTTTTTTTGGTAAATAGCATATTTATTTCCTTTGAAAATATATTTTGTTGTCTTTAAGATATTTGAAAATTTTGATATATAATATAATAATGCTTAAACTTATAAATTTTTAATTGAGTTTAAGTATTTACTATATTTTAAACTTTACATTTAGTTTAAATATTTATAATATTTTTAAAACCTTTTAAAGGAGTAAATATTATTAATACCTAAACTTCTATAGAATTTAGATATTTATAGCATTTTGGATCTTTCCTTGGACCTAATTTATTTTGCATGTTTATTTACCTAATTTAAACTATTTACATATATACAATTTAAAATACTATAAATGGCAATTTATTTCCAACGTTTCAAAAATTAAAATATCATAATATTTTGAAATATATTAGTTTAAATTATCTAAAATTTATTAGAAAAATCTAAAATATGTTTAAAAATATAAAATTTCGAATTTAATAGGCCTTATTTTATGGTAACAAATTTATCATGATTTTCATAAATATTGGTTAGTTATTAGTTTTGATTTTTCTATTTATTTTAAAGCATATTTTTTTATTTGAAAATCTGTTATTAATTTTGTTTGGCTATAGGTTTAGGATTACATTTTATTTCATTTTTTCTATTTAATCTATTTGGCTACACCTTTAAAAAATGCTTCCCTTTTAATAGTATAGATATGAATCGTGCTTTTTTAAGTTTGTGTAGTAATATTGGGTAATAATATATGTTAGATTAATGAAATAATATTTACTAATTTTTTTAATTTGAACTTAGTAAACGGACTTCTAATGAAATATAATGATTTTTCTTCACAAATCTTAAGGATAAGAATCCATGAGGATGGTGTAAGTATTGTTTAAGTGTTGTTAATAATATTTCGAAATCCAAACAAAAAGGCCCCAACTAAAGAGTCCATTTTAAATGTCTTACCAGCAATACACGTAGGTAAAATTAATTATCTCACAAAAGAAACAAAGTAATCAACGCATACACAGTGAATGTTCTTAATTTTCCTAAATCTAGATGAACAACCGATTTCCTTCCATGGTTTTTTCCAAAAATCGTTTCCATGATATCTCGAAACTTTCATTTTTAAACTTTAGTGAATAATGTTTACACGGTTTTCAGAAGAATTGTATTTTTGAAAAAAGTAAATCTTATTCGATGTTTGCTTTGAATCTATACATGGAACAATAGAAGATATGTTCATAAGACACATGCGATAAACATGATTGGTTGCCCTGAATTTTTTCATTGCCTTAGTCAACATGAAATTCTCAATGATACTCCATTGTCCAAGTACCTTAGAAAGGATAGAAATTAAAGTGTTGTTAGAAGACGTAATGCATGAGAAAGCAAAAATGGAAAAACTTGTGAATCAGTAGCCATTGTCATAGGGAAATAATTAAGATGGAGAAGAATGGTTTTCTTGAATGTCGAATAAAGACTTTCGACTACAATCGTTATATAGGAGAAGGGTTACTGCGTTAATTTAGGTTTAGTTTGGTAAAGAATATTCAGGCAATATTCTTTAAATAATTATACGTGATTAACTGGGAAAGTTAATTACAATAATTTTATGATTTGATCTACGTATATATGGATAGTTTAGCTTTCTCGACGCTGTTGACAAAATTAATTAAATTTTTTTAACAAATGTTTGAAGATTGTAATCAAATTATTGTATATTCTTTCAACTTATAATCCCGTAATTTGATATTTTGTAAACATAAAATTCCGTAACAAATGTAAAACATAAAATTAGGAATATGTTAGTCTAATATATTAATTAGCGTTGCCATAAATGTTACAATTTAATAATTAATGACAGAATTAGCGTTGATATAGCATAGCATAACATTCGGCGATGTATTAAGAAAAAATTAGGAAATGGATCTAACCCGAACCCATAGAAATATCCGATTAAAAAGATCCAATTTCAATTTCCGGATATTTTTTCTATTTAACCCGACCCGAAAGAGTTTTTTGTACTTCGCTTTTACTAATATAGAGATATACAAGTAAGCAATTAAGATCATGATCACATATTAATAGTACCAAAAACATCCAAACCAGTCAATTAAAAACAAAAATTGCGCTCACAGAACACTGTCGATTGACACCATCAACTAGTGTCGGTCGACACCCTCAACTGGTTTCGGTCGACACCACCACGATAATGCACTGCGAACAACAGTCTAATGTCGATCGACACCCTCCTGGTGTCAATCAACACTCACACCCTAGAACACATCCAATTTTGATCTGATAAACTAGAGGACCTAAAATCATCACCACATCATCTCCCACGCCGACACAACCAAGGAACAGCTACAGAAGGCCACATAAACACCAGAAACACATAATACAACAAGGAAAATCATTCCACACATCAAATAAACACAAAACACACAATCTTAATGCTTAGATAAGCCGTGGTCACGAACTCACTTTGATAAAGAACTAACAATGAAGAAAACAACACAATCAGAGGCAGCACAAGACTCTCTTAACACCACAGCCACAAAATCTTCCTTCCCTTTAGTCAAAACTCTCAAGAACATCACCTAAATCTCTCTAAAAGCCCATAGAACTTCACAGGAAAACTTAGGAACTTTTTCCACTCTTCTGAAAGAATAAAAGCGGTTGATAACCCTTCAAGGCGCCGAGTTTTCTCTTTAAAATGAGGTTTAGGGTTTAGCGATACCATCCCAAATTAATTTTTCAATTTAAAACAAACATGTCAAACCGAAATTTGTTGGTGTTGATCGACACTAACAAAATTTCAGACAGGGGTGTTACAATTAGGGATCGACACTAACCCGCTCAACAATCCTGAAAAGACCCATAAACTCGGGCGTTATAAGTAGGTATTTACAAATATGAATACCTTTTATATCCATAGTCACTACAGCCTAATATAATTTTGAAAGAATAGAAACGATAAGCTTTACTTTGTCCACACATAGGCTTTCGTGATTACCAATTAAAATGTTTACTGATTATGTCATTTGCCCTACTGTATGATAAATTATTTTTTGTTGTTAGTATAATAAATTTGTATTCACATTACAGCTTGATTTGCAACTCATCACTACAACTTATCAAATCAACTTTCTAATTGGTCTAGTGTAAGAAACCAAAAAAGAGTTCAAACCTTTTTACATGTGTATATGGGGACATTAATAGAAAAATATTACCTCCCTTCTTTTGAGGTTGACTAGACTAACCAACAAAAGACACATAATAAATAAATAAAACTTCTTTTGATATAAGTCTTCTTATATAGAAAGCTTTCACATATAGCTATTATTTTTTAAAATTTTAATTTCTATTTTTCTGTAACAACCTTTCTATATTTTTATTTATATTAAAAACTACCTATTTCAATGTGTTGAAACATCTTTTGTGGACCTAGTAGAAAAATATCAAAGCTAGAAGTCATCTATATAACATTTTACCCATTAGTATCTGAAACCACACAAATCCTCCTATCCTTCTTCTTCAAACTTTTTTTTCACCATGGGTAGGAGAAAAGTTACACACCAATTGATCACCGACAACACCACTCGCCGAGTTACATTTCAAAAACGCAAAGCTGGTTTACTGAAAAAGATCAATGAATTAACCATCCTTTGTGGTTTACCAGCTTGTGCTATCATTTACAACGAGTACAAGGATGGTCCTGAGCTCTGGCCAAACGTTAACGAGGTTCGTTCTCTTCTTGACAGGTTAAGCAAGCTTCCAGTTGAGAAACAAATCAAATACATGATGGACCAAAAGGATCTCATGGAGAAAATGATTCAGGACGCAGAGAAGAAGTTGGAGAAGGAGAAGATGCATACTCGTGCTATGAATCTTGGGATAATGGCTTCAACCAATGATCTAACCACCGAATCAGATTGTTCAGAGGAACTGGTGAAAGCAGCCAAAGTGGTTGACAAGAAGCTCAAACTCATCCAAGAGAGAATCAAGGCTGTGGAAGCAGGAGCCCCCATCATCATGAGAGATTAGTCTTATAAAAAATTTATTATCTTATTATCTAATTTAATCTCATCGTTTTTATAATTCTTTCCGATTACGATGTTTGGATTAATGGTGTTGACATTTATGTTCTATGATTTATGCTTTGCATTCTTAAGAAGGACTAGGAGAATTGTATCAATCTCGTTGGCCTTTGTGTTGTGTAATTTTTCATAGATTTAATAGAATGGATACCATGAGTGATATATTCGATTTATTACCAAATTTGTTTTATATTTATGAAGATTCTATCCCTTATATGTTTGCTATTTTAATTTATTTCTATTTTTTCAGTCAACGATATACTTTCTATATTATAGAAAATCATATATCTTATTTCTTATCAAGAAAAAAACTTATTTATTATCTTCTACAATAATTCAAATTTTTTTTTTTTATATATGAACTACATACGATTTAATCCGTGATTTATAGGAAGAACTTTTGTTGGTGCCAAAAATAACGGTGACAATCGTCTGTAGTGAATTCGATAAATATTTCATATATAAATTAATAAAAATATGTCTTGAAAACCTAATTAAATTGGATTCATGAATGATAGTTTACTCTCAACGGTAGCTATTTAATTTTGTTATTATATATTATCTAAACACAATATTTAGTCCAACTCAATATATAGGCAGCAATAAAATTGAAAATTTTAATTTTACAGAAATTTATTTTATTGTGCGCGGGTTATAATTTTTTTATATTTTTATTTTTAATTTATTTTTGCAACGTTTATTTTGTTGGTTTTGTTATTCTATTTTTCATATGATTTTTTTTAAGTTTATATTAGTTTAATATTTGAAATGTTATTGTTATTTGTTTAACTGTAAATTAGGCTCAATAGTAGATGGTACAACCTGATTTTACAAAAACACAAAGCATAACTGCTTTTCTCTCATGGGCGATATCAACGAGAAAAACAAGTCGTTCGTTTTTGTCACTCTTGCCGGCCATCGTCATTTCTATTTTCCATTGTTTGAATTTCTCTAATTCCCTTCTTAATCTTAGGTTTTGAATGAATATAACGGCAAATCATGAGTATCAACAGTACGCTCTATGCTATGCGATGATGTTGTGTAAAGTATTGAGTGTGTCTTTTCTACGTAAGAGTCCGATATCTCTATGGGATCCATCTCTGGTTTGGTTTTTGGATCAAATTGACCAGAGGCTTTCAGTAGATATGACAAAATCATTTCTTTTACAATGTAGTTCCTCCGCTATTATGTCATTTCGATGGAATAGTGATGTCCTTCTTTGTAGAAGGTTTGTTTCCGGTGCTTTCACTCGTTGCCGGTGTTTCTTTCGGTTAATAACCGGTGATTGTCCTCTTATCCGAGGGTATGGAGGTTTGACTTGGGTGTTTGATCCTGGAATTAATGGAGGCATCAATGGACTCGATGGAATCATCATCAGAGATCGAATCAGGTATAATCTGAAACAAGTGACATACGTTATGGAAAGGACAATGGCGGTGAGTGACTGTGATGGCGTTGCTCTCTATTTACCTTGGCCGGAAATTTCTGTTTCTATTGAAAGGAAAAGTATGGCCACTAAACGGCTGTAACGCCCGTGTCTGGAAATCCGGGTGGTGTCGATCGACACTGTGGTCGGGTGTCGATCGACACTAGTAATTTTGGTTTGACGGTTTAAGTTTTAAATCGTCGGTTCAATTGAGGTTTTGGTTAGGGTTTAACCCTAGGTCTCGTTTAAAAGAATAAAGGTCGTGAGGTGGCCGCTTTTATTCTTTTAAAAGGTTTCTAAGTTCTCTAGAGAGGTTTGTGAGGTTTGAGAAGTGTTCTGAGGCTTGTTCTTGGTGTTTCTGTCCTTGGGAAGATAGATCTCGTAGCTGTGGTGTTAGAAGAGTCCTTGGTTGCTGTTGTTGTGATCTGTTCGTCCTTGTTTCTGTCCTTTTGAAAGGTGAGTGCATGACTAGGCTGATCTAAGCAGTTTTGATACATATTTTGAGTGTTTCTTCTGATTGATCTTTGATTTCTGTGTTTGCATGCTTGTCTATGTGATATGGTGTCTTGGTACGAGTCTGAGAAGGAGATAGATCAGGCCTGGAGTCCTGGAGTTGGTGGATTCGTCGATGAGAAGCGGCTGGAGCGATGTTAGGGTTTCGGTGTCGCTCGACACCAAGGGAGGGTGTCGATCGACACCAACTTTCTTTCTCGCAAGGATGGTCGCGAGTGTCGAGCGACACCAGCGGATGGTGTCGATCGACACTGCTCGTCAGAACGGGTCATGATGTGTTGTTTTGCGTTGTATTGGTGGTTGTTTGAGTTATACTTGAATGTGTTCATTTCTGTTTGTGTGTATAGCCAGTGGTGGGATGATTGTCTCACTAAGTAATTATGAAATACTTATGCATCTCTTTCTTTGATGCAGGTAAAAGCAAAGTGTGATCCGTGGAATCATGGCGAGGAGAGGAGGATGATCTAGGTGCTCATTGGTGTTTAGATGTTTGTAGGATTTGTTAGAGTGCTAGGATGGAATTTAGAAGCATGTTAGGATGAATTCGTTTTCTGGAATAATGATAGTTGAACTTGTTGGATTAAAGGAATTGTTTGATTGGATTTTTGTTTAAGTCTTCCGCTGGTTACGTTGAATTGGTTGTGTTAGTGAGATTGTCTGGTTTGCTTTAAATGGGTTAATCCGGATTGTTCGCATGTTAAAAAAAAAAAAATGGGATGGGTTCTTTCAACGGCAACGATACGATAGGCGTTTCGTGCATATTTTTTTGAGTTTCAGACAGCAAGAATCAGAATCATTTCAAACAACATTTCTGTTTTTTATCTCAACAAAAGTAATGCGAAAAGAATTTTGGAGTTTCTTCTATAAGATGATAGCCAATTATGAGTATGTGAAGGGGGGACGTAACATATTTTATCTGTTTGCCTGTAAGGCTTCCAATCGAAAAGCAAGGTCATGTCTACTTCTTTATCAAAACTGTATTCAATTTCCTTTATTTATGTCAATGGTTGTTTATGAATGGTTCATGTATCATGTAAAACTCTTTATAATATAATATACTTGATTTGGCGAAAAAGTAATATTTCAGAAGCCTTAATTAAATTGTTGTAACCCTCACAAACTATTATGAATTATCAAATTAAATAGCTCTCTGTATGTATCCATTTAATAAGTTCATATTGTATAAAAGTAACATTATAGACTCACATAGATATAATTCTTTGCATTTCTATTGGCTCTCATATAATAGATATATTGGAGTGTGAATTGATTTTGAGGACATATCATAACTATTTTCTCCTTAATAATAGCCCTTTAAAAAGAAATCTTTTTGTTGTTTGCAGGTTAACAAAATTTATTTTACTCACCCTTGACGTCTCGTCATTGCCACCCTGTCATTTGACTCATGGTCGTTGTTTCGAGAGATGTTGAACTTGGCTAATTGCATATACTTGAGGTTGACAACTTGAATTTTTTTGTGACTTTAGGTTGGTATTTTCATAGTATCAAAGTTTGGGTATTAAACAACTGTTAGGATGAATGAATGAATGAATTTTCAAATAGTTTAATTTATTCATGTGCATTATTATCTTGAGAAATTCTTACTAATAACCTTTTTATGATACCCTCTTGCAAAACTACCCTTTTTGTTTGCCATTTTCATTTTTGCCCGCTCTTAAATTTTAATGGTCATTTTACCCCTAGTTGAAAGAATATTCCTTTCTTTGGATGAAATATTATTTCCAAAAAATATTCCCGATAAAAAAATTTTCGATAAACTTTTCCTGCAGAAAAATTTTTTTTTACAAAATTTTCCCGCCAAATGTTTTTTTAAGGGTTTACAAGAAGTTTTAAAGGGTCTTTTAAAGGATTTACAAGGGTTTTTAAAGGAATTTAGAAAAGTTTTTAAATGGTTTTTAAAAGATTTGTAATAGTTTTTAAAGGGCTTTAGAAGTTTATAAAGGTTTTTGAATGGTTTTTAAAGGACAATGATTTTTAAAAGTTTTTATAAGTTTATAACAGTTTTTAAAGGATTTACAAGGATTTTTAAAAGATTTTCAAATGGTTTTTAAAAATTTACAAGGAATTTTAAAAGGTTTTTAAAAGAATTAACAAGTGTTTTTAAAAAGAATTACAAGTGTTTCTAAATGCATTTACAAGGATTTAAGGGTTTAAAAATTGTTTTAAAAGGATTTACAAGCATTTTTAATGGTATTTACAAAGATTTTAAAATAGCTTAAAGGATTTACAAGGGGTTTTAAAGGGTTTTAGAAGTTTACGAATGTTTTTAAAGGGATTACAAAGGGTTTTATAGGCATTACAAGGACTTTAAAATGGTTTTTTTAAGGATTTACAAGGGTTTTTAAAAGGTTTTAGAAGTTTACAAAAGATTTTATTAAAGGATTTACCACAGTTATAAGGGGTTTAAAGGGATTTACAAGTGTTTATAAATGTTATAAAATGATTTACATAGGTTGTAAAAGGTTTACTTAAGTTTTGAAAGGTTTTGGATGATTTTAAAAAGATTTACAAGGATTTTAAAAATATTTACTAGGTTTTTAAGGAATTGCGGAAAATTATGGCTGAAAACTTTTGGCGGGAAAATTTTTGTCGGAAATTTTTGGCGGGAAAGTTAATGTCATAAATTTTTGACGGAAAATTTTTCGAAATGAATATTCTTTTGTTGGAAAGAATATTCTGTTCTTCAACGTGGGTTATACTAAAGGATAGTAATTTTGTCATTTTGTACATTAAAGATGGTATTTTTGAAAATGGACATCTAGACAGGGTATTTGTAGAAAATGATATCATAAAAAGGTTATTTGTGCAAATCCCCCAATTATCTTTTCAAGTTTTAATAATTTATTGTAAACTCGTTTGACTACTATGCGTCTTTTGTTGGTTGATTTAGTCAACCTAAAAAAAACAGAGGTATTATTTGCCTATTAATGTCCCCATATACACATGTAAAAAAAACTTGAACTCTTTTTTGGTTTCTTACATTAAACCAATTAAAAAGTTGATTTGATGAGTTGTAAATGATGAGTTGTAAATCAAGTTGTAATGTTAATACAACTTATATTTATTATACTGACAAAAAAACATAATTTATCCTACTAAGTAACTGACATATGTCAGTAAACATTTTAATTAGTAATCACAAACGCCTATTTATGGATGAACAAAGTAAAGCTTAAGGTTTCTTTTGTTTCAGATACATATTAGGTTTTTGTGATTATTGATTTTAATGGTGTGCATATTTGTAAATAAGTGTTTACACCACATCAAATCCTCTTTTAATTGGTATAATATTAAAAGTTAAGGCCAAAGTTTTCTACTATGGTAAAACATATAAGGCAAAATGAATATATATGTTTCATTTAAAACATTTCATGAGATCTTATCCAAAACATTACATTTTTCTACAATTGTATTTTAAAACCCAGGATTATGGTTGGGCTGACAAAAAATTCAGACGGGATTTTGTTATAACAAAAGTGGGGAATGTTTGTTTAACCCACTGTAAAATTGGGATAGGAAAAGACTAAAAAATGATCTTATGAACAAACATATAAAAATATGCTATTATAACTTATTTTTGAAAAACGTACTAGTTTGACGATTTTTTTCAAAAACTTTTACTAAAACATGAAAACTAGTCTCTATGCATGGCCTCCGCGTAATATACCTCACATGCTCACAACTCCTCGCTCTCAGGTCGCAACCTAGAGCCATACCGCTCTCACACTTAGACCTTAGTCTTTAAGTCATACCATCTCACTTTTGGGTCGTCACCCTCAAGCACTCCTAGTATCCGGGGAACTAATCATACCCTATGAGAACTAATCATCTCATCTGCCACTCTCATCAAAGGAATCTTCTTACGCCAAAGTTCCTTAACCCTCCTCTCGAGAACCCTCACTGGTATCGTCTCCAGGGTCATGTTGGGCAGAAGATCTGTAGGAATCTTCGCCAACACCTCATCATCCTTATGCCACCATTTATTAAGCATCAACTCATCTTTCCCCTCTATATATTTCATCTTTCTTAGATGATATATTTTATGCGGTGTGGGGAAGCATTTACAACATATATCACACACCCATATAATTTCAAACTAGAAATATTTTATCTCCAATAATGAATACATAACACGGGAGAAAGATTTCTTACAAATTGTTTTCCTCATGTATAATCATTACTACATGGAAAATTTCACGTTTAATCACCTATGAATCGTTTTGCAATCTCTTGTATTGCACTATGAACAATTCATTAAAGCTCATTTTTAGGGTGGACATCATGGATGTTTCACATTATCACTTCAACATATATAATCGATAAAATATGGGATATGATTTCACCAAATTTATTTCGCTCTGGGTGTCAAATTCACCAAAGTTTATCGACTTAGTGTCAATGTGGGATTCTTTAATTCTCCTCCTCGAGATGATAACTCTTGGAGTACATTCATCTCAGACTGAGTCCCACTTTAGGATCAACAACATACCACTTTTGTTCATGTGTATTTACATCTTAAATCAAATATGTGAGACCAGTATTACCCCCTCTCTAGGTGATGACTTTTTCGAGTCCATTCACCTTGGAACAAATATAAGTTGTAGATCGGCTATACGAGGCTTAAATTATTATCTTATTATCTTCCCACAAAGCTATACAAAGCGTAGCTAAGTGTAACACCCCAACCGTCACCCCTCTAGTGGGCCACATGTTCACTCTCATCCCATGTGCCCACCTCTCTAAATGGGTCTCACGTCCTCTCACTAGGCCCATGAGCTCATCCATCCTTTGACTACTACAAATCATCTTGAGTTCTCTCAGGACCTTTGACAGAAAAATAATTGCAATTTGGTGACATAGGTGGCCAAATAAATTCATTTAAAATTAACCAACTAAACCAACAGAAGAAATAAACCAAAAACCAATCCAATAAACAAATATCGTTAAATTAGCAAATATCCAGCAATTCTTATCCCTATATTAGTAAAAGAGAAGTACAAAATGGAATACGGGTCAGATCAAAATAATAAAAAATTACCCGATTTAAACAAGAGAATTTGTTAGAAATACCCCTTTTGGGATACCAATTTTTAAAAATACCCCATTTTCTTGGCATTTTTAATCTTACCCTTCTTAATTCTAATTTGCCTATTTTACCCTTCATTTGATCTGTCTTAATTTCTCAGATCTCCGATGACGACTAAATTGCGAAAAAGATAAGCCTGAGGGCGGCGGAGTTGCTGCCGACGTCGGAATTGCTGCCGACGGCGGAGTTGCTGCCGACGGTGGAGTTGCTACCGACGGCGAAGTTGCTGCCGACGGCGGAGTTGCTACCGTTCAGTCTTCGTCGTCGATGTGTGATCCCATCATTGTCAATCTCTCTCTCTCTCTCTCTCTCTATCTCTCTCTCATCACTCTCATCTCTCTCTCTATCTCGCTCTCTATCTCGCTCTCTCTCTCTCTCTCTTGTTATCGTAGATTCTGTTCTTCTCTGTTCTAAAATATGGTTTCTTAGATCTGAAGAGACAAAATCGGGATATGAAATTAGCATTTTATGTTGTTCAAAATTGATGTCTGCATTTTTTTATGTAACTAATCATAGTATTGATGTCTGCATTTTTTTTTGTATTTTGGATGATTAGCTGATGGTTTTGAATCGGGAATTGTTCATATGATTGTGAAATAGATGGTGATGGTGATGATTAGAGTTAGCATTTTGTAAGCTAATTAAGGGGTTTTGATGGTGCTTAGTGTTCCAAGGAGATAGTGAAATCATTCCAGATCGATGTTAATTAATGGGTTTCGTTCATTTGATTTGGATGATAGGTTTCAGCCCAACATCAGGAGATGTAGTCATGGAAAAAATGACCAAGTTGGTTCTTATTATGGTGTTTGACCATGTTGCTCGTGGTGAAAATGAGTTCTAGAGTCAAATCCCAAATTATGTTCATGGCTGAAAGAATCACAACAATATGGATTTTAATTGTATGTACGTTACTTTCAAAGTTAGAGTATGGGTTTGAGAGATGCTTTTGGTTTATGAGGAAATGATAAATCATAGTTGAAGGTTTAGATCCAACAAGAATGAACTCACTCAAAGAAAGCTTGACATTCCTTTTAATTTTTCTTGTTGATGCCGTCATTTTATATTTGGTATTGATGATTTGTAGAGGACCCTTTGATATTTATTCTAGTTACATGGACATGAACGGTAGGGACATGAACGTTATTCTTATTTTATTGATTGTCTTGAGGATTTACTTGATATTGAATTTTCCCTGCATCTTCTCTTCAAAGAGGTCTGCTTATGAGAGCTTGATTTTGATTTGCTTGAATTGGTATATTTTAGGAATGGAGCAACGTTGGGGATAAAGTATTTCTGCAGTTGTACCATATGATGAGAGTGGATAGAATTATGCAGGGGAATAAGAACACCCACAAGATCACGTTGTATAAAAAAAATTATGGCTTGTATTTAAACCTTATACAGTTCGTTACTTTACGATGGTGTGTCTTGACTACGTAATCTCAACATGATCTAGGACAAGGCATGATCTAGGACAAGGCATGACTAACAGACTTATGAAAAAAACTTTTGTTTTGGCGGTTGGTTATGGATTTGATGATTTGATTATTTGATGAAGACTGTGTTGTCTTGGCTTATAAAGAACTGAAGGGGAGCATATTAGGTCGACAAAGGTTACTTTTAGTTGAAGATTGGGAAGAAAGTTCTTTAACCATTATGAAACCATGAGAGTGAAGAGCTTTTTATATAATAATTGATTGTATTAGCTTTTTATGAATTGCTTCGTAAGACTTTGTAAAACCTTCTAAATATGTTGTAAAAACTTTTTAGATACTTTATAGAAACCTTTTAAAACCTTATAAAAGCCTTATAAAATCTTTATAAAAGCTTTGTAAAGCCTTATAAAAACCTTATAAAATTTATTTAAATAGTTTTGAAAGCCTTAATATACATTTAAACGCCTTATAAAACCTAGTAATCATTTTAAATACTTTGTAAAATATTTTTAAAAAACCTTTAAAAAAGCCTTATAAAAACCTTATAAAAGCCTTATAAGAACCTTATAAAAGCTTTATAGAATCTTACAAAAACATTGTAAAACTTTTTAAATAGTTTTTAAGACCTTAATATACATTTAAACACTTTATAAAACCTTTTAAATACTTTTTAAAACATTTTTTAAAAACCTTATAAAAGCCTTATAAAAGCTTTATAAAAAACCTTATACAAACATTGTAAAACTATTTAAATACTTCGTAAAAAATTTTTTAAAAACCTTATAAAAGCCTTATAAAAGCTTTATAAAAACCTTATAAAAACATAGTTTTTAAGACCTTAATATACAATTAAAAACCTTATAAAACCTTTTAAATACTTTGTAAAACATTTTTTAAAAAAGCCTTGTAATTTTTTTAAATAGTTTTGAAAGCCTTAATATACATTTAAACACCTTATAAAAACTTTTAGACCCCTTGTAAAATGCTTTAAAAGGTTTTTATTGATCTAACAAGGATCCTCGAGTTGACTCGATATATAATCACCCCTCAACGTCCAAGAATATAGTTCTTAAACCATTTAAAAACCTTATAAAATCTTTATAAAAGCCTTGTAAAAATTTATAAAAGCTTTATAATAGTTTTAAAAACCTCAATATACATTTAAACACCTTATAAAACTGTTGATAAAAAAAGAATGGATTTTAAAAAGAAAGAAATTGTTGACATGTTTAAAAAAAATATTTAAAAGGTTGTATAGGGATTTTAAAAGGTTTTACAATTTTTTACAATGTTTTTAAAAGTTTTAAGGAATTTATAAGAAATTTATACGGTTTTTAAATAGGTTTTTGAGGTGTTTAAATGTATGTTAAGGTTTTAAAAACTATTTGAAAAATTTTACAAGGTTTTTATAAGGTTTTATAAGACTTTTATAAAGATTTTATAAGGTTTTATAATGTTTTAAAGCTTTTATAAGACTTTTATAAAGATTTTATAATGTTTTTAAGCTCTTAAAAGATTTTATAAGATTTTTATAAAGATTTTATAAGACATTTATAAGGTTGTTAAAAGGTTTTATAACGTGTTTAAATGTATATTAAAGTTTTCAAAACTATTTAAAAACTTTTACAAGGCAAACAACGCGTTTATAAAGCTCTTATAAAGCTTTAATAAGGTTTTACAAGGCTTTTATAAAGCTTTTAACATGATTTTACAAGGTTTTTAAAAGGGTGTATGATGATTTAAAAACTTTACAAGGGTTTAAAAAGATTTTATAAGATTGTATAAAGATTTTAAAAGGTTTTAAAAAAATTAACAAAGTTAAAGGGTGTGTGTGCATTTATGTCTATAACAAATATTCGAATATTTTCATTGACAGACAATGCAACTTTAAAGATATATTATGAATCCTTAATATTCTATAACTGATGTACTACTTGTATAATCAAAAATACAAATAAGAATTGCAGAAAAGTTAAACAATGTAACATGTCGTGTTTCATATACAATATAAGCTCTCCTGCAATATAAAACCAGTCCGAGCCATGTTTCTTATTGTTTGATCCTTTCACACTAAATCCACATAAGCATGAGCTCCTAATTGTGTTGCATGTTGTATGTCCCACCTTCAACAAGAGCAACTTGAGCCAGATCATTAAACAACATTCCTCGCTTGGATTCAACATTATACAAAAACTGATGGATTTGTGTTCTCTGCAACATTCATAATTTTAAAAGAGAATGTATTATTACCTCAATGCAAGTCAAGATCTCTTGGGGGTGAAAGAGATTGTGAATATTGGGCATCTCTCCTCCATCCTCCTTTGTCTATAGTCTCAGGTGCTCCAACAAAGACGCACCAATCACTATACATTTACATCATCTCTTCTTCTATGTACAAAGACAATCCAAAATGAGATTTTCTACCTAAGTAGCATAAAAGACAACACATATAAAACAAATGCACGTAAGAATGAAAAACACAAGTAGCTAAAAGCAAATAAATGTCATTCTTTACGATATATAAACATTACAACTAATCAAATTATGAGACCAAACCTTCAGATCAATATCCATTAGTCGATTTAGGTATCACCTTAGACTTGGTTCAAAATCATGGCATTCCTGACACCCCATATGCTCAATTGACCAAACAAGATTTCCATCTATGAAAATCAATAGAACTAAATTAATGATGACGAGAGGGGATACAAAATGTCAAATAAGGTTGTGACAGAGAACTCCACTACCTCCGCTGCTATTTTGAGAAGCGAAAGCTAGTTCGAGATCGAATCGCAATGAAGTTGAGATTCGTTTAGATAGACGACGAGATCAGAACGACAACAACAGCGACGATGACGATGACGATGACGACATGATGATGAAGACGACGACGGCACACCGACAAAGATGAGACGACGACGACACACCGACAAAGACGAGACGATGACGACACACCGACGAAGACGAGATCGAGCAAGAGAGTTTGACGGCGAGAGGCAAGAGAAATTCCAAAACAAAAGAAATTAAGTTAGTTTTTGAAGGGTAGAATTGTCTTTTTGACCAAAAATGGGGGTATTTTTAAAAATGGTCTTCCTTGTGGGGTATTTTTAAAAAATTTCTCCCTAAAAGGGGTATTTTTAAAATTGTCCCTTTAAACAATTGGATACTTCAAAATTGGATATTAAATTGGGTTTGGATACATACATCGGATACTTCCCATATCTAATTTTAGGATTGTATTATTTCCATAACTAATTATAAGATTTCCTAATATTTTTTGGGAGATTTTCACAAGTAACCTTTTTATGATATCATTTTCTATAAGTACCCACTTTAGGTATCAATTTTCAAAAATACCCTCTTCAAAGTACAAAATGACTAAATTACCCTCATTTATGATAACCCATGATGAAGAAAAGAATATTCTTTCCAACAAAAAGAATATTCCCTCTGAAAAATTTCCCGCCAAAAATTTCCCCCCAAAAAAGTTTTCCCGCCAAAACATTTCCGATAAAAAATTTCCCGCCAAAACTTTTTCCGCAATTCCTTAAAAACCATTTTAAACACCTTGTAAATATTTTTGAATCTTTTAAAATCCTTTAAAACCCCTTGTAAATCTTTTAAAAGTCATCCAAAACCTTTCAAAATTTGACTAAACCTTTTAGGCATTTCGTTTAAGGCAACACGACGTCGTTTGTACTTGTGATTCTCATTTTTCGACTTAACAGAGATCGATTAACGATCCTAAACGGCTGTTAACTCCTCTGTTAGACTCTGTTAGAGGATTTGATTTGACGACATGTTCAATCTAGCTCAGGCAACAGAAGATGGTGATTTAAAAATAATGTCAACGAAAAGTCTATGATTTTAATTGCCACAGTGGAAATCGAGGATTAAAATGGCCAAAATTTGTTGGTTGGTTGGTTCTTTTCTTTGGATAATGGTTGAATGTGCTTGTGTGTATAGCCAGTGGTGGGATGATTGCCCCACTAAGTATTAATGAAATACTTATGCATCTATTTCTTTGATGCAGGTAAAAGCAAAGTGTAATCCGTGGAAACATGGCGAGGAGAGGAGGATGATCTCCGCGCTCATAGGTGTTTTAGATTATTGTTAGATTTGTTAGGGTGTTAGAACGGAATTTAGAAGCATGTTATGGTGCTCATGTTTCTGGAATAATGTTTGGTTGAACTTGTTGGTTTAATGGAATTAATTTCATGGATTGTGTTTAAGTCTTCTGCTGGTTATGTTATATGTGATTTAATTGATCTAAATTGATCAGGCTGGTTTAGTTGGTTTACAATTAGTTGGGTTAATCCGGTCTGCATGTTTTCAAAAAAAAAAAAAAACGGGATGGGTTCTTTCACACTACTCCTTTTACCAACAATTCTCGGTTTTAACGCCGTGACCGCCACCTCTATAGTGGGTCCCATGTTCACCATCAGCCCATGGGCCCATCTCTCTTAATGGGCATCTCGTCCTCTCACTAGGCCCATGATCCCACCATTATCCGACAGCCAGTTTGCTACGTCTGGGAGGGTTAAAGACTTGCTTACCAACCCTACAAATCAACACATGATCTTTCCCTGTGTTTTGGCCTCACTCACACAGTTTTTACAATCACTTCCCGGAAGGAATTCTGGAGTAGTCAAAGGATGGGTGGCCTTCCGGGAAGTGGTTGTCGGAACTGTGTGAGTGAGGCCAAAACACAGAGGAAGATCATGTGGTGATTTTTAGGGTCAGTAAATGATAACCCCATATTTTACCCAATTTAGGCATACTTTTATTGCATGTTTTTCATAGTTTGAGTCTTGTTTCATATGCATTAGAGTCTCTTTTCCTTCATTTTGCACTCTTAGGTGGTTTTTGCATTAGCATTGCATATTTTGTGAAGTTCGAGCATTATTAGGTGTTTTGGAGCTCTAAAAGAGAAGGAAGGTGTTATTTTCATTTTTGAGACTAAACAAGAGAATTG